TTTTCTTTCTTTTGAAAGGCAAGGCAGTGGCCAAAAGAACTCAAAGTGGCTTTATATTTCCAAGCATTCCTGCGAGTCAGCGCCTGTGCCGATATACACTGAAGATCAGGAGCAGATTGCATTTGCATTTGATTTACATATTAAAGTTTTGTTTCTGAAACTTTACATTTTCACCCACTATCACATTTTTACAGCAAAGCACAAGACAAATGCATGTAATACTCGAGATCTGCAAGCCATTACTGCGTGTACAACCTTCATATCATCTGTGCAATTTTAAACAAGTCAAAGTGTTTTTTTCCCACTGATTTCACTTCTCACAGGAGGTCATGATCAGGTGATTGAGTGGCAGACAGTGAAGTGTCGCTCTCTACTGGAGATCAGCAGCATTACAGCTCAGAACATCACAGCAGAGCTTACAGTGAAATCAGTAAATGCAGTGAATCCCAGTAATTTTGACCAGCCTGAGGATTTTTACAGTATTATCCCATGTCCTTAGATTAATTATTAGCACTAATAAAGAGGTGATTCGTCAAAACATTGTACATACATTTATTCATTTGGCAGATGCTTTTATCCAAAGCGACATACAGTTGAGGAAAACAACTTATTCATCATAAGATGGCAATAAACACGAGAAGTGCCTATTATACAAGTTTTCAGTCATTGTTTAAAACAATAGCTAGGACAGGAAGATATTAATGATATTATAAAGATTATATATATATATATTTAATTAGGAGATTAGAACAATTATTGGAAGCATAATTATTGAATGCTGGCCATTTCTGAAGATTTGTTTAATTCAAGACTATAGAATATCAGTTGCATTAAAAAAAATTGAAGCATTATTAAATGAAGTGTTCATGAATGTATTGTATAATTATTTTAATATCAGCATAAAGCATAAAGTGACTCATTATCTGTTATTCACAACTGAGGGAAAATGTTGACTGATGGATTTGGCATGTATTTTATTAGCAGTGTGAATAAGATAAATGTAACATACTAAACTTAAGCAAACATTCTACAATCAAACTTATGCATTATACATAATACTGCATATATCTAAAATTATTTCCCTTTTGTATGTGTTTATTTTATTTATTTTTTTGCATTTTTTGTTTTAAAATTGAAATGAATATCAGTGATATATATCAGTCTATGCTCATCTATAAAACGTCATGTTACACAACCGTATAAAAACCTTGATATTGTCTTGATGGCCTTTTTCATTTGGAAGGGATGATTGATTTCCTCAAAAACGTGTTTTTTCAAAAACATCGACAGATAATTCGGAATGTTTCTCGTAATTTTGTCAGAACTATATAAACTTTTATTTTACAACTATAATCTGTTCTGTACAGTAGGCAAATCACTCTCTCTGGGTTTGCTTGTGTGTGAGAGAAAGAGCTAATGAGAAAACTATAGCCTACTATTTTATAATGCACAGCGTAAACTGATGCGCTGCTTTAAATACAATGTAAAGAATAGTTGTGTGATTAGTTACTACGTTTATCAGTCACGCAAAAGTAGGCTTAAGAGAGAAAGCAGGACAAGTCATGTGGCTTGACTTAATACTTAGGCTATATTTGCCATGCAATATTATTTATAACTGATACAAAATGTTGTACAGACACATGCAACGAGACTTCTGGTGTACGAGCACTGCATCATCTCTACTAGAACCGCTTGCAATTTGCTTCTTTCAGTGTGTCTCTCATTAAAATCTATTGTTTTTCTGCAAATCTGCTTTACAGGTGATTCTCATCCTGCAACATCCACACTTGATCTGAACTGAATCAACACTGAACTGACTCGATCTGAACTGAATCAACACTGAACTGACTCGATCTGAACTGAATCAACACTGAACTGACTCGATCTGAACTGAATCAACACTGAACTGACTCGATCTGAACTGAATCAACACTGAACTGACTCGATCTGAACTGAATCAACACTGAACTGACTCACAGTCACACACACAAAAACCCACACTAACGCTATCCCATGACTTTATATCACTTTTCCTTTTAGCACTGTGAAGGGCTCACATGTCGATTTTTCCTATTTTGGGCCGTCATGAACAATAATTTTTACATCAATTAAAAAGCTGCTCCGACACTCGAAACTCTTTGTGTGTTTCTGCATCCCACAGCCCTCGTCATCTGCGTCAAGGTCCCTCGTGAGGATGATCAGATACAGGAGTCCATGCATGGCATCAGAAACACTGGAAACCCCTGCTTTAATCAACAGGGCTTCTCACAGCTCATCTAAACCCCAGTAAATGCAATCCTGGTTATCTTGCTTCACGCTTTCACACTCATCCTTTACCCAGGGTTAGAAGTTAATCCTGTGAATTCACAAAAACTGTGAACTCTACTCCAATTCATGTGACCTTTTTCACTCTAGCTGTGAGATGATTATTTCCCCGTGTTTACTGCCTGCAGTATCAGCCCAGATCCTCCTGAAGGAGCAGGTTTGAGTTTGGCTATAAATAGTGCTCTTCAGCTACTGTTCCTAGCATCTCTCTTCTTCTCACAGGTAAGAAACATGTGTCGAAACATTTGATTCCATTTTTCATTATAACTTACTTTACTGAAGAGCTTTATAAGCAAATGTTTTCATCTGGATGACTGGATTATTTGTTACTGTATTGTTTGTCTCTATAATCCTCGTTTAAATCAGGAAGAAACGCATGAAGACAGAACAGTGAAAAAATTAATCTCGCGAAGCTTTTCAGATCAGATCAGATCTGCTGGAATGAGATAAGAGTGAGTAGATGAGTAGGCCATCAGTGTCACGTACTTTATCAGCTTTATTAGGAATACGTTTTAATTACAAATCTGCTGCTTGTTCAGGACTTGATTTCATGTTCACCTTAACCTGAATTTACCGTACATTGACTTTGATGACTTTAAACGGTGTTCCTGCCTGATTTACCAGAAACAAATTTAGTGTAGAATGGAAACAATGCATGCAGAAAACAGCTGGAGCATCAGAAACCACAGACCAGCAAAACCCAACAGGACCGAGAGAGAAACTGAGCACAGAAATGAGACACAAGCCAGTGAACCACAAGAGGAAAGACTTGTTAGATGTGACAGTATGCGGAGAATAAAGCCAGACCGTAAGTGCTTGTTCATTATGAAACTTTAAAGATGTTTTAGATTTGCTCCTGTTTTCTAAAGAGATACATCAGACTTGTTGCCGTCACAGATGAATGTTCACAGATCAGTGTGCTTGTGTGTAAATGACAAGATGTGTTATTTGTAGACTCAAAACATGAAAACCCCATAAATCCAAAACGATGAGAATAATCTGATGTTTGTGGTTTCCAGTCTCTTGTGAAGACCTGAACATTATCCATCATCACATCAGCTCCTGGACTCTTTCACAGACTCGTCTGAGCACAAACACACAGACTAACGAATGGCTTCTCTCTCAGATCTGTGTCTCAATGCTGCACTTTACTGACAACACTCTGCATGAGTGTTCGATCCTCTGCTTCTGCCGTGTTTTACTCCGTATTCTCCACTGCCTCACATATTTATGACTGCTACATTTTGCATTTCTAGTCTACATTTTCATTTAGTATGTATGTATATTTTTACATTCTTTTATATTTTAATATAGTTCCTAGATTCTATATATTTTTGTATAACTCTGTACTATTTTATATACATTTATTACTCATTCTTCCTCTCTATTCTAGATGTATGCAGAAAAAAGTGGAAAACTACATTTTGTATGTAGAGAGACAAAGACAAAGCTTGACTTTAAATGAACAGAAATGTGGTTATATTTGAAGTAGCTCATTATATTTAATCTGGATTTTAAAATAAATAAAATTTGCTATATTCTCATATTTGTAAATCCTATAGAATTATCACGCAAGTGATATGCACTTCATATTTAAGACAGCATTACATTTGATAGTGTTTGGCCAGTGCTGGTGTTTGCTGTCACATACTTGTGTAATATTTTTTTTGGCTTTTTTCACATTTATACTGTAGTTCAGATGATTGAGTGCCTCAAAAGTGTCTGTACAGTCTCGGGTGGATTACCCTGCAGCATTACCCTTTCAAACAGTAATAATATGCACACTTTAGATTCTCATTTGTACTTTTAAAATCCTAATATGTATGTTTAAGATACTGAAATGTACCTTTTAGGGGTAAATAAATAAAGTAAAAGTGTAGATTTTAGCTTTTGTATCTAAGGGTAACTAACACCCCAGTGCCAGATTTGTTTCTTTTTCTGAGATTGTAACTGTAAAAAATGTTCAATGCTGAAATAATATGCATTCTATCTGAAATAATACCTGCCTGTTGTTCATCAGGATCATAACCAAACATAGCACTAAAAACGATCGGTTATGCTGTGTTGGTATAATTTTGAAGGGTTTTTTGAGGAGTAATTTGACTCCTGTAGGTTTAGAAACGGACAACAGCAATAGCTCATTCATATTCATCTAGCTGATGAGGATGTTTCACATCAACCAAATCTCCATAATCTACTACTAGAAGAATTTGCATAAAATCATAGATCAGTCAGGAGTCTCATATAACACATTTTACTAGATCCTTAATATAAAGCTACTGAAAGCTGATGCCATTATTTCGGTGTTAGAGCATTTCAATGTGAGATTTAAATACAAACTACAAGTTGTCGTTAGAGAATACAGTTTGGTGTCATGTTCAGCTTCATATTAAATATATTTGTGCCATCAGTGTCACCCATAAACCAGACGTCAGCTGTGCCTGTGACTGTGGAGAATCACCTGGTCATGATTGAGAACTGTAAAACCTTGCATCAGATCAGTGTATGTATTATGCATTGCATTTAAATGTACAAATATTTGATCAGTTCTGGCACTCCCTGTTGTGGCTAGATTCTGCTGTTAGAGTTACAGAGACAGTAACAGTGACTTTTCGGTGACATTTATGTTTAGCCTAGATAGCGGATGCCGGGTCCCCGAAACAGTTTGAAAACTCCTGGTTCAAGACACTAAGTGATTCTTGTGTAAGCACACTGATGATTCATCTGTTGGTCCATTTATAAAAATTAAAATAAAAAAAAAATCCCTTTTGATTCACTCATATTCACACGTCCATGACTTTATCAGCAGTATTACAGCTCAGAACATCACATCAAACTTTAGAAGAGTGTTAAATTAAATTACAATTAAATTAAATTACAAGAGTAACATGCATTTTTATCAATTTTAATATCATACTATCCTTAAATTAATGATAAAGAGATGATTCATTCAGGCACAGTAGGCCTATTATGCTCTCTTTAAATTTATACTGATTTTAATTTTAAAAACCATTTATAAAAAAATAACCATTACTGTTATGAGAATCAAAGAGAAATCCATAATCTCGCATCCTGACACATTTCAGTAAAGGTAAAGTTTAATTATGACCATAATGCCATAAAATATATGAACGGTACCGAAAATATGCTTGATTTTCATGAAAAGGGATCATTTGAATTTTGGGTGAAATTAAACCTGGTCATGTTTTCATGAGATTCAGTGCGCAGCGCTGACCTCGTACGTCATCCGCCCGGAGCTGCTTCAGTGTACAACAGTGAGCGCAACTATTTACACTAAGTGCAAATAACTATAGATTCTATTTATACTATGGTAAAATAGCAGGATATTCTGCTAATTACTTATTGCAAATAGGGTCAATTATCTGCAGCTCAGCATTGTAATACATTATAAAACAGTAGCAATAATAACTTGTGTAATTTTTAATTAGAATTACAATTATTAAATGGGACAAAAGCCCTGCCTACACCTACCCTAACCGATACTTTATTTTCAACTTTGATTTCCTTCATTTTTATTAAAAATAAATGCTTTTCTGATGTGATTTGAAATTTTAAAAGGGGAAAAGAAAAAAGTTTGCCAAAAGGCAGATTCGAACCCGGGTCGATCGCGTCAAAAGGAGTAGCCCATGACACACACACTTTTCCATCTATGCTACTGAATCTGATGATTGACAATGGTCTTTTGTAATGTTGACTAGCCCAATCACACGCTGGTGGGTGGAGTTAGTGTAAATAGCCTCAGCCAACAAGGCGGGCTATTTGCACTTATAGACACTCCGATTTTTATTTTATTGCCAACAGTTAAACAGTTGCCCACAGAAAAAACACTTCCCACGCCTATTGAGGGGTGCTTTTTATTTAACTTCTTTTGGACTGATGCACTGCAACACCCGCTGAGTGCCATGAAACAGCTTGAAAGATCAAAGACCATTTTTAATTGTTCTTTCAGACTGGATTTGTCTGAAAGAAGAAAGTCATATACACCTAGGATGACTTGAGGGCGAGTAATTTATGGGCTAATTTTAGTTTTTGGGTGAACTAACCCTTTAAGGTCGATCAAGCATCAAATCAATCCACTATGGGAAACAACGAATATTTGTGCGGTTTAATGCATTTGAGACATTGTGTTTTATATACGTTTCATAACTGACATGTCACTGGTATATTTTTCCATCTGTAAAATGTTAGAAAGTCATGCAAATATCCATTTTGCTGTCAGGAGTGGGCGAGGCTTACGTGAGTGAACGAGCGCTGCTGCACGCATGCGCGCTAAACAGATGGAACGCAATAGAATAAAAGTGAAATAATTCTGAATAAAATATGCATTCTGCTAAAATATTTGTTGGACATTAAATGACACATTTTGCCCGGTAGATCAAAAAAGTGTGACATTTACACGCACTCCTGATAGCTTCTCATCCATTGTAGGAGACATGAAACAAACACTTATGTTCAGGATAATGCTGAAAGGGGCTGGGCTCAAGATGGTTGGCTCAAGGGTTGTTTTTCTCTAAGCTGAGAAACAAAGTCAGGATTTTCCTCACAAACGAAAATAAACATTTCATAAAGTTCCAAACTAACGTACAGAAGAATGGCAGAGGATGCTAATCTTAGTGAAGTGATAGAAATTTAAACACTGAGAGCAAACCGAGTAAATTGTGATTTTTGTCCGAGCACACCAAGCAAAAGTCATCCCAAAAAGCAGAAAAATATGGCTGGAGACCATATTTCTTTGAGTGACATGCAGGAAAATATCTTTCGGAATTATTTCTGAAAAGATTAAGATACCGATTAAATTGAAAGCATAGTAAAAGAATATTCTTTCAGCACAGCTTTGGGCAAATCTCTTAAGTTCATTATGATATAATGGATATCATCCAAAAAAAGGGGTCAAACATACGTAGACAGGGCAAGACAAAAGAGTAATCCATTATACAGGCAAGAGTAGATCAGCAGCAAACAACATCCAAAGCGGCAAGGCAAGAGAATAATCCAAAACAGAGGCGATGATCAGGGCAGGCAGCGAATAATAGGAGTGGGTGATTAAATTTTTTTTTAGAAAAACAGTGCAAACGTGCAACATGAGGTAGGCCTGTATGAATTAAATTCAAATTAAATAGTGAAAACCCCCTCTTTTTTTTTTTTTGGAAAGTCTCTTATGTTCACCAAGGCTACATTTATTTATTAAATGCAGTAAACTGTAATATTGTCAATTTAAATGATCTATTTGAATGTTTTAACATATAGGTTACTGTATTGCTGTGATGCGCAGCTGTATTTTCAGCATCATTACTCCAGTCTTCAGTGTCACATGATCTTCAGAAATCAGTATAATATACTTATTTGATGCTCTAGAAACACTTCTCATTATCATCAATGTTGTAAACATTGGTGCTGCTAAATATTTTTGAGGAAACAATTTTTCACGATTCTCTTATGAATAATTGAAATTGTTCTTTGTGTCAGAGTGCGGGAGTTCGTCGCGACATCAGTTTACTGTCATGGATTTGTCGTGTCGCGCCGCATCCACAGCAGAGAACATCACTGGGTTCTATTTGCTTTTGTCAAATCGCACCGCTCGCATCTCGTGTAGACATGTTGTTTTGGCATTTGTGAATCTTAAGTATATTTATAATCTGCTTTACGTTTACCTGGCACTGGAAGTCCCTTCACAAACTTGTAACTTACATGCTTACAGCAGAACCATGCATCGTTCGTTTACATTTCTACATGGCTGCCTGCAATACAACTCTGATTCTTTAATCGCGCCATCTAGTGGTCTGTTATTGATACAACCACAACTGATAACGGAGCGCTCAAGCAGGTACTGCGAGTCATGTTGAGGTAATTAAAATGTCAAATTAATATTTTGCGCTCAATTATTTACTCATCAGGCAAGTGGCCGCATGAGAAGCGGGAAAATTACGTAGTGTAGGGTGACCATAAGTCCCCTTTTCCCTGGACTCTTTTTGGACCTACAAAAATACATCCGGCTGGGATTTCTTAATTGCCCAAAATGTCCGG